AAGAGCCAGAGCTCAACCCCCGCAAGCACAATTAGGTGAGTACAATTAGGTGAGTACACACACACACACAGGAGGTCAAGAGACACCTGCTGGATCTGGATGTTAGAAAGACTGTTGGTCCAGATGGGATCTCACCATGGGTACTGAAAGAGTGTGCAGAGGCACTTTGCTTGCCACTCTCCATAGTGTATAGTAAGTCACTGGAGACGGGAGACCTACCAGAAATATGGAAGACGGCGAATGTGGTCCCAATATACAAAAAGGGCGGGCGACAGGCATGAGGCACTGAACTACTGGCCAGTGTCCTTGACTTGTATACCATGCAAGGTGATGGAGAAGATCGTGAGAAAAAACCTGGTAGCACATCTGGAGAGAAGGGACTTCATGACAAATCGCCAACATGGTTTCAGGGACGGTAAATCTTGCCTTACAGGCTTGATAGAATTCTACGATCAGGTGACAAAGATTAAGCAAGAAAGAGAGGGCTGGGCGGACTGCATTTTCTTGGATTGTCGGAAAGCCTTTGACACAGTACCGCATAAGAGGCTGGTACATAAGCTGGAGAGACAGGCAGGTATAGCTGGTAAGGTGCTCCAGTGGATAAGGGAGTATCTAAGCAATAGGAAGCAGAGAGTTACGGTGAGGGGTGAGACCTCCGATTGGCGTGAAGTCACCAGTGGAGTCCCACAGGGCTCTGTGCTCGGTCCTATCTTGTTTCTGATATATGTAAATGATCTCCCGGAGGGTATCGATTCATTTCTCTCAATGTTTGCGGACGATGCTAAAATTATGAGAAGGATTAAAACAGAAGAGGACTGTTTGAGGCTTCATAAGACCTAGACAAGCTGAAGGAATGGTCGAACAAATGGTTGTTAGAGTTTAACCCAACCAAATGTAATGTAATGAAGATAGGTGTAGGGAGCAGGAGGCCAGATACAAGGTACCATCTGGGAGATGAAATTCTTCATGAGTCAGAGAGAGAAAAGGACTTGGGGGTTGACATCACACATCAGCCCATTCAAGAGGATAACATAAGCGGCATATGCCAGGCTGGCCAACATAAGAACGGCATTCAGAAACTTATGTAAGGAATCATTCAGAACTTTGTATACCACATATGTCAGGCTAATCCTGGAGTATGCAGCCCCAGCATGGAGTCCATATCTAGTTAAGGATAAGACTAAACTGGAAAAGGTTCAAAGGTTTGCCACCAGACTAGTACCCGAGCTGAGAGGTATGAGCTGCGAGGATAAGCTACGGAAATTAAACCTCACTTCGCTGGAAGACAGAAGAGTTAGGGGGGAAATGATCACTACATTCAAGATTCTCAAGGGAATCGACAGGGTAGATGAAGAAAGGTTATTTAACACAAGGGGCACACGCATTAGGGAACACAGGTGGAAACTGAGTGCCCAAATGAGCCACAGAGATATTAGAAAGAACTTTTTTAGTGTCAGAGTGGTTGACAAATGGAATGCATTAGGAAGTGATGTGGTGGAGGCTGACTAAATACACAGTTTCAAGTGTAGATATGACAGAGCCCGATAGGCTCAGGAACCTGTACACCTGTTGATTGACGGTTGAGAGGCGAGACCAAAGAGCGAGAGCTCAACCCCCGCAAGCACAATTAGGTGAGTACACACACACACACACACACACACACAAACCAGGAAGCAGCCCGTAGCAGCTGTCTAACTCCCAGGTACCTCATAACTGCTAGATGAACAGGCGCATCAGCATGAAAGGAATACTTCCGATTTGTTTCCGCCTCTACCGGGAATCGATCCCCCTGACCCTAGGATTACGAATCCCGAGCGCAGTCTACTCAGTCGTCAGTCCCCCCCCCCTCACCCCTCCTGGCTTCAAGTTGAGAGTTGACCTCCCATTCTGTGTTCAGCAGCTGAAGTGAAGCTCGTGTAAGAGAGGTTAATAGGTGGGAGGGATCCTGTAGTGATGACTTCTTACCCAGAGGTAGTGTGTCTGTTCATCTTTATTTTAATTTCCTCTTCGAGGTGACCATTACATCAACGGTTGATGTCAAAGACCAGCGTTACTCTACTGAGGCCCTCGTCTACCTGCTTGAAGCTGTGGTTGTGTGGGAGGATGGTTGATGTAGTCATCAACAACCGACATGGTTGATGTAGTCATCAACAACCGACATGGTTGATGTAGTCATCAACAACCGACATGGTTGATGTAGTCATCAACAACCGACATGGTTGATGTTGTCATCAACAACCTACATGGTTGATGTAGTCATCAACAACCTACATGGTTGATGTAGTCAACAACCGACATGGTTGATGTTGTCATCAACAACCTACATGGTTGATGTAGTCATCAACAACCTACATGGTTGATGTTGTCATCAACAACCTACATGGTTGATGTAGTCATCAACCTACATGGTTGATGTAGTCATCAACAACCTACATGGTTGATGTAGTCAACAACCGACATGGTTGATGTAGTCATCAACAACCTACATGGTTGATGTTGTCATCAACAACCTACATGGTTGATGTAGTCATCAACCTACATGGTTGATGTAGTCATCAACAACCTACATGGTTGATGTAGTCATCAACAACCTACATGGTTGATGTAGTCATCAACCTACATGGTTGATGTAGTCATCAACAACCGACATGGTTGATGTTGTCATCAACAAACTACATGGTTGATGTAGTCATCAACCTACATGGTTGATGTAGTCATCAACAACCTACATGGTTGATGTAGTCATCAACAACCTACATGGTTGATGTAGTCATCAACAACCTACATGGTTGATGTTGTCATCAACAACCTACATGGTTGATGTTGTCATCAACAACCTACATGGTTGATGTTGTCATCAACAACACTACGATTGTACCCGTCACAACGCTCGCTAATATTACACAAACACAGTCATATATGACTTCTTAGTCGGAGAATGAAAACTCTCCTTGTAGAATGAATATGTGTTTATGTTGCATATATGTGTGTCTAGGTCGCATATATGTGTCTAGGTAACATATATGTGTGTCTAGGCCGCATATATGTGTGTGTCTAGGCCGCATATATGTGTCTAGGTCGCATATATGTGTCTAGGTAACATATATGTGTGTCTAGGTCGCAAATATGTGTCTAGGTAACATATATGTGTGTCTAGGTCGCATATATGTGTGTCTAGGTCGCATATATGTGTCTCTTGTTTGCATATATATATATGTGTCTGGGTCGCATATATATATATATGTGTTTGGTTCGCATATATATGTGTCTAGGTCGCATATATGTGTGTGTCTGGGTCGCATGTATATGTCTAGGTTGTATATATGTATCTTGGTCATATATATGTGTGTGTAGGTCACATATATGTGTCTAGTTCGCATTTATGTGTGTCTAGATTGCATATATATGTGTCTAGGTTCTATATGTGTCAGGTCGCATATATCTGTATTGGTAACATATATGTATGTTTAGGTCGCATATATGTGTCTAGGTCACATATGTATGTGTTTAGGTCGCATATATGTGTCTAGGTCACATATGTATGTGTCTAGGTCGCATATATGTGTCTTTCTAGGTCGCATATATATGAGCTCACCTAATTGTGCTTGCTGGGGTTGAGCTCTGGCTCTTTGGTCCCACCTCTCAACCGTCAATCAACTGGTGTTCAGATTCCTGAGCCTACTGGGCTCTATCATATCTACATTTGAAACTGTGTATGGAGTCAGCCTCCACCACATCACTTCCTTGTGTATTCCATTTACTAACTACTCTGATGCTGCAAAAGTTCTTTCTAATGTCTCTGTGGCTCATTTGGGTACTCAGCTTCTACTTGTGTCTCCTTGTCCGTGTGCCACCCGTGTTAAATAACCCTTCCTTGTCCACCCTGTCAATTTCCCTGAGAATATTGTATGTGGTGAACATGTTTCCCCTAGCTCTTCTGTCTTCCAGCGACGTGAGGTGCAGTTCACGTAGTCTGTCCTTATAACTCATGCCTCTTAGTTCCGGTACTAGCCTAGTGGCATACCTCTGAACTCTTTCCAGCTTCGTCTTGTGCTTGACTAGATACAGGCTCCATGCTGGGGCTGCATACTCCAGGATTGGTCTTACATATGTGGTTTACAAGGTTCTGAAGGATTCGTTACACAGGTTTCTGAAAGCAGTTCTGATGTTAGCCAGCCTCGCATAGACCGCTGATGTAATTCTTCTGATGTGGGCTTCAGGAGACAGGTTTGGCGTGATATCAACTCCCAGATCTTTATCTCTGTCCGTTTCGTGATGTACTTCATCTCCCATTCGGTATCCGGTAACTGGCCTCCTAGTTCCTCCTCCTAGTTTCATTACCTTACATTTACTTGGGTTGAACTTTAGTAGCCATTTGTCAGACCATTCCTTCAGTTTGTCTAGGTCTTCTTGTAGCCTTATACTATCCTCCTCTGTCTTGATCCTCCTCAAAATTTATGCATCATTAGCAAACATCGAGAGGAACGAATCAATTCCTTCTGGGAGATCATTTACGTATAACAGAAACAATATAGGTCCAACGACTGATCCCTGTGGGACTCCTCTGGTGACTCCCCGCCGCTTCGAGACCTCACCCCTCACGGTTACTCGCTGTGTCCTGTTGCTTAGGTACTCTCTTATCCAGTGGTGTACCTTCCCTTTCACTCCTGCCTGCATCTCCAGCTTGTGCACTAGTCTCTTATGTGGTACTGTGTCAAAAGCTTTCTGGCAATCCAGAAATATGCAGTCTGCCCAGCCCTCTCTCTCTCTCTTGCCTGATTTTTGTTGCCTGGTCATAGAACTCAATTAAACCTGTTAGGCATGATTTGCCATCTCTGAACCCATGCTGATATTGTGTTACAAAGTTCTTCCGCTCCAGATGTTCCACTAGCTAGTGTGTGTCTAGGTGACACATATGTGTGTCTAGGTGACACATATGTGTGTCTAGGTGACACATATGTGTGTCTAGGTGACACATATGTGTGTCTAGGTGACACATATGTGTGTCTAGGTGACACATATGTGTGTCTAGGTGACACATATGTGTGTCTAGGTGACACATATGTGTGTCTAGGTGACACATATGTGTGTCTAGGTGACACATATGTGTGTCTAGATGGCATATATGTGTGTCTAGGTCACTTATATATGTGTCTAGGCCGCATAAATGTGTCTAGGCCGCATATATGTGTCTTGGTCGGATATATGTGTGTCTGGGTCGCATATATGTGTGTCTGGGTCACATATATATATGTGTGTCTGGGTCACATATATGTGTCTGGGTCGCATATATGTGTCTGGGTCACATATATATGTGTCTGGGTCACATATATATGTGTGTCTGGGTCGCATATATATGTGTCTAGGTCGCATATATATGTGTGTCTGGGTCACATATATATATATATATATATATATATATGTGTCTAGGTCACATATATAAAAACATCAGAGGGCCCATGAGTAGGGAAGTAAACAATCAGGAGAGAGTGCCAAGCCATTACGACTATATAGCACTGGGAAGGGGTCAGGATAAGGAGTTGGGATGGGACGGGGGGACAGGAATTGTGCCCAACCACTTGGACGGTCGGGGGAGATTGAACGTCGACCTGCATGAAGCGAGTGCGTCGCTCTACCGTCCAGCCCGAGTTGTTGGGCCCCTGGAGAGAGCCCCTTGGTTCCTCATTGGCGACGGATTACGATTATCATCTAATTCCATTTATGCTAACACTCTCTTTCTTATTATTTCCATTTTGCGCCTCTTGATGGTCAGACAATCGAAGATGTATTAGAACTTCCCCTTTTCTGAAATCGTTTGCATGTGGCTGTTCTCAGATATAAGGTAGCTTATAGGAGGTGTTCACATATGTTGGTGAACACCTGTCACAGGTAGATGACTGGTTGGTGGACACCTGTCAGAGGTAGATGACTGGTTGGTGAACACCTGTAAGAGGTAGATGACAGGTTGGTGAATACCTGTCAGAGGTAGATGACAGGTTGGTGAATACCTGTCAGAGGTAGATGACAGGTTGGTGAACACCTGTCAGAGGTAGATGACAGGTTGGTGAACACCTGTCAGAGGTAGATGCCGGGGTACTCACGGCTCAGAGGTGAAGGAACGTGTTCTGGCAGTTGAGCTGTGGCGGCCACCTGAAGGTTTAGCCACACTGAACATAGGAACACAAGAGTAAGTAAATAAGCAGAAGGCCAACTGGGCAAGGCGAAGGCCAACTGGGCAAGGCGAAGGCCAACTGGGCAAGGCGAAGGTCAACTGGGCAAGGCGAAGGCCAACTGGGCAAGGCGAAGAAAATGGTGTTCATCCCTCTGCCAAACTTATATATTACCCGATAATTTGTTCCATATATCTTCAACACTTTGTAAAAGCTGTCTGTATGATAAGAACCTTAAGACAGCAGAACAGCCTAAAGAACAGTAAATTGGAAATCATCGAATTACCAATATCAATCTTCTATCATTTAGGCCTATGCCTAACAGCTGAAGCTAGTCCTTCATATACTCAAAGGTGTTAACACATATACGCAGAAACTTTATAAGAAGAAGACGTAAGTTGTCACTCTGCTTTTTTAGGCTCTGGATGAAATTCTGCAGAAAATTACCCAAGATTACGACCCAAATGGTGACTGATGAGGGCTGGGTCCAGGGGAGAGCTGCTGGCCAGAATGGTAATGAGTTCCCCAGGGGAAGGTGGAGTTGTTGTTGTTGTTGTTTAAGATTCGCTACCTGGAACAAAATGTTGTAAGTAGCACGGGCTATGGTGAGCCCGTCGTGGAGTTATTACTAAGTGAGAAGAAGCATAATAGGCGACGGAGAGGAAGTATCAGAGCAGTGAATTCGGTGCTCATCTGTCGCAGACAACATGTAGGTCAGGTATAGTGCTTTGTGCAACGGTACTGTTGTACCTGTTGTGTTGTAGCGTCACTGTTCTCACGCATCCCGGCACTGTTGTGTTGTAGTGTCACCGTTCTCACGCCTCCAAGTATGTGCCTTGGCTCCTATGGGGCACTGCGTTGGGGTGTTACAGTCCCCTCTGGGGTTCCTGAATTGCTGGAGTGGGGTTCCCCACTCCCCTCTGGAAGTGCTGGGATGGAGGCTGATCCCTGGCTCACTTCCCTCTCCCTGCACCTTTTCCTTGCATTTGCTGCCTGTATTATCTCATCCCTGGTCATGTCCCTCTGAATGAATGCCTCTCTGTATTTTCCTGACATTTTTCAGTTTGCTCTTCTTTACTAGAATGTCCTCTTTGGTGGCCTCGTTCCTGAATACTACCTTGTGTGTGTGTGTGTGTGTGTGTGTGAGTGTGTGTGTGTGTGTGTGTGTGTGTGTGTGTGTGTGTGTGTGAGTGTGTGTGTGTGTGTACTCACCTAGTTGTACTCACCTAGTTGTGTTTGCGGGGGTTGAGCTCTGGCTCTTTGGTCCCGCCTCTCAACCGTCAATCAACAGGTGTACAGATTCCTGAGCCTATCGGGCTCTGTCATATCTACACTTGAAACTGTGTATGGAGTCAGCCTCCACCACATCACCCCCTAATGCATTCCATTTGTCAACCACTCTGACACTAAAAAAGTTCTTTCTAATATCTCTGTGGCTCATTTGGGCACTCAGTTTCCACCTGTGTCCCCTTGTGCGTGTTCCCCTTGTGTTAAATAGACTGTCTTTATCTACCCTATCAATCCCCTTCAGAATCTTGAATGTGGTGATCATGTCCCCCCTAACTCTTCTGTCTTCCAGCGAAGTGAGGTTTAATTCCCGTAGTCTCTCCTCGTAGCTCATACCTCTCAGCTCGGGTACTAGTCTGGTGGCAAACCTTTGAACCTTTTCCAGTTTAGTCTTATCCTTGACTAGATATGGACTCCATGCTGGGGCTGCATACTCCAGGACTGGCCTGACATATGTGGTATACAAAGTTCTGAATGATTCTTTACACAAGTTTCTGAATGCCGTTCGTATGTTGGCCAGCCTGGCATATGCCGCTGATGTTATCCGCTTGATATGTGCTGCAGGAGACAGGTCTGGCGTGATATCAACCCCCAAGTCTTTTTCCTTCTCTGACTCCTGAAGAATTTCCTCTCCCAGATGATACCTTGTATCTGGCCTCCTGCTCCCTACACCTATCTTCATTACATTACATTTGGTTGGGTTAAACTCTAACAACCATTTGTTCGACCATTCCTTCAGCTTGTCTAGGTCTTCTTGAAGCCTCAAACAGTCCTCTTCTGTTTTAATCCTTCTCATAATTTTAGCATCGTTCGCAAACATTGAGAGAAATGAATCGATACCCTCCGGGAGATCATTTACATATATCAGAAACAAGATAGGACCGAGTACAGAGCCCTGTGGGACTCCACTGGTGACTTCACGCCAATCGGAGGTCTCACCCCTCACCGTAACTCTCTGCTTCCTATTGCTTAGATACTCCCTTATCCACTGGAGCACCTTACCAGCTACACCTGCCTGTCTCTCCAGCTTATGTACCAGCCTCTTATACGGTACTGTGTCAAAGGCTTTCCGACAATCCAAGAAAATGCAGTCCGCCCAGCCCTCTCTTTCTTGCTTAATCTGTGTCACCTGATCGTAGAATTCTATCAAGCCTGTAAGGCAAGATTTACCCTCCCTGAATCCATGTTGGCGATTTGTCACGAAGTCCCTTCTCTCCAGATGTGTTACCAGGTTTTTTCTCACGATCTTCTCCATCACCTTGCATGGTATACAAGTCAAGGACACTGGCCTGTAGTTCAGTGCCTCTTGTCTGTCGCCCTTTTTGTATATTGGGACCACATTCGCCGTCTTCCATATTTCTGGTAGGTCTCCCGTCTCTAGTGATTTACTATACACTATGGAGAGTGGCAAGCAAAGTGCCTCTGCACACTCTTTCAGTACCCATGGTGAGATCCCATCTGGACCAACCGCCTTTCTAACATCCAGATCCAGCAGGTGTCTCTTGACCTCCTCTCTCGTAATTTCGAACTCCTCCAAGGCCGCCTGGTTTACCTCCCTTTCTCCTAGCACAGTGACCTCACCCTGTTCTATTGTGAAGACCTCCTGGAACCTCTTGTTGAGTTCCTCACACACCTCTCTGTCATTCTCTGTATACATGTCCTCGCCTGTTCTAAGTTTCAATACCTGTTCTTTCACTGTTGTTTTCCTTCTGATGTGACTGTGGAGTAGCTTTGGTTCGGTCTTGGCTTTGTTTGCTATATCATTTTCAAAATTTTTCTCTGCTTCTCTTCTCACCCTGACGTACTCATTCCTGGTTCTCTGGTATCTCTCCCTGCTTTCTGGTGTTCTGTTATTCCGGAAGTTCCTCCACGCCTTTTTGTTCAGTTTCTTCGCTTCCATACATGCCCTATTATACCATGGATTCTTCTGTTGCTTCTCGGATTTTTCCCTTTGGGCCGGGATGAACCTGTTTACTGCCTCCTGACACTTGTGGGTAACATAGTCCATCATACCCTGTACAGACTTAGCTCTGAGGTCTGTGTCCCAAGGTATTTCACTTAGGAAACTTCTCATCTGTTCATAATTCCCCTTTCGGTATGCCAGCCTTTTGATTCCTAGTTCTTTTTGGGGGGAGATAAGTCCTAGCTCTACCAGGTACTCAAAGTTCAATACACTGTGGTCACTCATTCCCAAGGGCGCTTCCATCTTAACTTCCCTTATATCCCATTCATTTAGGGTAAATATCAAATCAAGCATTGCTGGTTCATCTTCTCCTCTCATTCTTGTTGGCTCTTTGGTATGCTGGCTTAGAAAGTTTCTTGTTGCCACGTCCAGCAGCTTAGCTCTCCATGTTTCTGGTCCTCCATGCGGGTCTCTGTTCTTCCAATCTATCTTCCCATGGTTGAAGTCTCCCATAATTAGTAGTCCAGATCCATTCCTGCTAGCAACAGAAGCTGCTCTTTCTATTATGTTAATGGTGGCCATGTTGTTTCTATCATATTCCTGTCTAGGTCTTCTGTCATTTGGTGGTGGATTATATATGACTGCGACTATAATTTTTTTCCCTCCATTTGTTACAGTACCTGCTATGTAGTCACTGAAACCTTCACAGCCCTGAATATCTATCTCCTCAAAATCCCAGCCTTTTCTTACCAGCAGAGCTACAC